ATCACGTCGGACAAAGTTAGGCCAAGTAGAAGGAGACTGTTTGGCCGTCGGTTAAGTTTCCGGGAGCAGAAAATGACCAGAAAGACAACTAAACTATTTAGAAAAATTGAAATAGATGTGAGGGACAAGATCGCCGTTACTAATTTAGTCCTTGATATGGGCCAAAACGTTCTGGCTAGAGAGTTAAAAAATTCGGACATAGCTTATTTTTTCTTTTTAAGGCTACTGACATTACGGTAGTCTCATCTGAAAGCAAATAAATTAAATGAAGTTCAACAAACATCTTTCAGCTTAGATGTTATTAGTAAAGAATTGAGATAAGAAAGAACATTTTTTCTGAACCATTTTTTCGTTATCCATTGTTCCGATGATCAATTATTAACCACAACAGACAAACTAATTGCTATTATAGGTCCTTGCACTCAGTCATCGGATTAAGCTGTATTAGATTTTGTTTTTTATACAACAGCCGAACGGAGTATAACCGCGCTATCCGCCGAATAAATCTCTTTCCACTGAAGAGTACAATTGGTTTCTCTAATGCTTATCATGCACTGGCGATAGTGATTTTTAGCGCTATCCAGCTTTTGAACAACTCAGTGGCAGGGGTGTCTTTTAAATCGCTCAGAACCACGGTGTTTTTACCCCCATATAGACGATGCCTGATCAACAATCAGATTCGTTTTCGGTCAAATACTGACTAATTGACATTTTAAACTCGTGTTGCGGGGTCGGTGACGTTAAAAGGGCGATGTTAGAACTGATTTAACATTAATTTGGCATTTATCACTTGCGTAACACTCTATTCTTTTAAGCCCTTACCTTGTGATTCTTGTTACTAACACGTGTTTTTCGGCGTGAACAACGTGAACCGCACAACAACTGCAGAAAGCGTTGTGAAGAACCTTCCCTCCCTGTCTAAAATTTTTTGGTGGTAGATTCACTTTTTATAGACCACAAATAGAGTCGAAAAACTATTCTTGCGAACTAGTTTATAATAAACGGCTTCGCCTCAGCTAACTGTATAACAAATCGAGGTGCTTTTTAAAATGTTTAAATTCGCTACTGCCTAATATCCATGTTGCGAAAAATTTATTCGAGTGCTATTTTAGCTGTGTCTTATGAACACCTATCCGTGTAGAACGTGTTTCCCACTGAAAAAACAAAATTAATGAATATTGTTGTTTAAATGTACAACAGCGCCTTCTGTTTCACCCAGAAAGACAAATGTAGCGAAGCTCAGTATGGCAGCCTAATAATATATTCTACCCAAAGACAGGCGGCTTGTTTTAATACAAGGGGCTAAAAGTTTTATTCGTTTTTTTTTTCGTCTAGGCATTAGCGCCTTGAAATTTCTAATAACGCTACAAAGTGTTTCAAGAGATTTTGAGACGTTCAGATACGCGTTCGACTTTGACATATAACAGACCTTTCATATTTTTGACAACAATATAGAAATTCCGCCTCATCCAACTGGGTTCGTGTAGAACGTGATTCGTGTTTCCTATTTCGTGTAGCACGTGTTTAGAATCACATTTTCGGCAAACGGCAAATGGCAAACGACAATAGACCTTTTTACTTTGTATGTTTTTTTTATCACGTGATATTTAATAGTCTTCAGAACTGATTCATTCAAATTTCGTCAGATGAACTTGGAAAGTAAAACGTACGAAATCAAACTATAATCCAAAGGGATTTATTTCTCGGTACCATGTAGCCAAGTGTCTCTCCTGACTTTTCGTTTTCCCTTAATCATATGTACACAAAATGAGAGTTTCAGAAGCTTCATCTGCATTTGTTCTTTTTCCTTATTTGAAAAATTATCCACTAAAAAGAAAAAAGAGCTCTGCACTCACTTGCAGAATTTAGAAACACCCATTTTGTTCAAGATAACTATTAACGCAGAGACCAACACATCATTTTTATCAGCCATCATGGATCACGTGGTACAAAGAGACAGAAATAACTCGTCAAACTCGTTTACAGCAAAAACGTCACTGAAAAAGCGAATTCGCACTGTTTTAAACTTTATTGCTCTTGTTCCATTTCATACAATTTGTTTAATGTTGGGAACTCTTGGAGTTGATTCCAAGGACTGTATCTAAGGCCTATGCCAAACGTCGAACTTTTCATGAGACGAACCAAACTCTAATTAACCTGAGAGCAGAGGCCGTTCGACCTTCCTAGGGTAAACTCTAATTTGGGTCGACCTAAATTAAGTTAAGATCGTCTGTGGGCTCAGACGTCGAACCTACGACGCGTCGAACCAATCAACTCAATCAGACCAAAAATCGAAGGTTCTTTTGAATGCAAATTAGTTTTTTTGCTTAATTTGTGCAAGTGTATATGAAACTTGAAAACAATGCCAGTGAATAATGAGGACGCTCACTTGTAAACACAAAATCTTTTGGAAAAATTTATGACATTTGAAGCCCCAGTTAATTACCTTCCTTGTTTTCAATGTTCGACGTCTGACCCAACTGACGATCTTAACTTCATTTAAGTCGACCCAAATTAGAGTTTGGTTCATCTCGTGAAAAGTTCGACATTTGGCCTATGCCTAAGGGCCTGTTTACATGGAGGTGGGGGACCCCAGGTAAGTGAGGTAACCCGCTAAGGTGGGGTAACCCGCCTGTCCATATAATCTCACATTTTAATTTGATCACGTTTACATGATAGGTGGGGTGACCCGCCAAGGCGGGTAGCCCGGTCTGCCAGACCTGGTAACCCTCTCAGCCGGGGTCAAATTTTGCCAAGTAAACGTTTCAAGGTGGGGTAACCCGCCCAGCCGGGTTGGATTCGCGATACTGAATTCACTCAAAATTCACTTTGGCGGTAGCTTTGCATCATTATTAAAGGTAACAGTAGGCCCTTTGCAGCTAGCCAAAGTTGCACTGGGACAAGACAAACAAAGAAAATTACTATTTCAAATTATGTATGTCTTTTGTTTGTCTTGTCCTAGTGCGACTTGCTTTCCAGCGTGGCGGTTTTGTACCACGTGAATGGCTAGCTGCAAAGGGCCTATAGAAAGCCACCGCACTGGAGGTTGCAGCAAGAGCAGCAAGCGCGTGTAGAAGAGCATCAATCACCAACGTGGTTTGCCAGCATTTTTCTTGTTTACATGCTAAGTGACCATTCAGTATTCTTGAGAAAGTCTACCCCGGGATCGCGGGGTTGTAAGATTGCATGTAAAGGAGGGTTATTTTTTTACCTCCCCTAAGGGGGTTACCTCACCTATCTGGGCTCCCCCACCTTCATGTAAACAGGCCCTAAGTTCAGAAGAAGAAGAAGAAGAAAATTGTTGTCTTCTGTTCACGTCCTCCCTAAAACGTGAAGCTTGGAAGCTTTACGTCGTAGTCGGGCAACAATTTTAAAAAAATGAACAAAAATAGCGTGACGCAAGTGCAAAATTGTTGTTTTGCTAATCTTAACCTATACAGCGTTTTTGTGTGAGTTTACGTCCATCATATTAGGTACGGCTACACTAGCCGTTTTACCCATGAACAAATGACTGTTGCCCACGGGGAAGCAAACTTTTGTGTGTGACCGATTTCCCGCCGGGTGAAATTGCCTCGGGGAAATTTCCATGGTTACGTCAAAAAGAACAAAATAATTACCCATGATAGTTCCCGAGGTATTAAAGGGACCTTTCCATTCAGTCAAAATTTCTGGAAATTTCGGTTCGGCAGTAAAGTGGAAAACGCCTTCGTCGGTTCGACAACTGGAAAATTATCGGGAAAAGTGGAAATTCTAAAAAGGTAGACCCGTTTTCCCGGTTGGAACGTTCTGAACGGAATTTCACGTTCCATTTACACGTTTCTCGTACTCTATATCAGTTCCAACTGTTACCAACTCGGTAGCTATCTTGGTGTCCTGTCGGGTAACGGGCTCGGCGCCGTACCGGAGTTTACGATCAAATGGAACAACTTTTTACCTATCGGAAAATCCCTTTTTCCCCACGGAAATTTAATATTCCAGATTTTTTATCTAAATGGAAAGCGCCCAAAGCTCTATGAGTTAATACCAGCCCAAAGCGGTTCAACCAGTCACGAGAAAGTAAAATGTAGCAGTTCTACCAAACAGTAGAAATCAATCCTACGCGAAAATGTGAGCGCTGCTGTGAATGTTTTTCAGGTTTATACGTTTAATAAATTCAAAAGCACCTTGAAACACTCGCAAGTTTTCTTTAAATCAGTGTTCAAGAATTCTTTTTTTATGAAGTTGGGAGAACCATTTTTATAAATCCGTACTTTTGACTTTAGAGCGAGAATTTGCTTTTCTCTTTATGTAAGTGCGAATGAAGTCGATGTCCTCGTTTTTAGTCTCAAAATTAAGGGCTCAGTCGCTCTTGCAAGACTAGAGCTACAGTATTACGCTTTCTTGTTTTACGGTATTAGTAAAATTCGATGAGCAACTTAGTGCCGTGTTTTAACTTTCCATCGCCGGCGTGAAAATAAACCTTTATTTAAACGCCGAAAGTTTCATCCTCCACACTCGACCCATTCCCCCCTCTGAATAGGATCCGGATAAATTTTGAACAGACAAAAACTTGCACGGATCCCCCTTTCGTTTACACAGGACTCGGGGAACCGTGCACTAAGTTTTTGAACGGCAAAATGTGCACGTTTTGTAACAAAATTTGCACGGCTTCGTGTAAAAGGGTGATAATAATACATTAAACGAACGATGTTGAGAATGAGTTATTTTGGTCATGTTCTAAGTGGTTATCTTTTGTCTCTTTGCTTGTTTACAGATCAAACTTGCGCGTACGGCCTCCCATATGGAAATTGCTGGCAAACTTCATCTTGCTTGATACAATGATTCAGCTAAACCTTCCGTAGGCAACCACCTAAAATGCGAAGAGATAGTGGTCGCTTACGGAAGGTGGACTTTTACTGTAGGTTCCAATTATTAGGGCTTGGGAGATGGCCGCTTACGAGAGGTGGTCGCACTTGGAGGTTCGACTGTACACTCAATCCAGTTTTTCTGATTCAGTTTCTCTACGAGGTCGTCAAGTCTGTATGCATACCTCTTGACTGATCACATGTTGACACTACTTGGTACTTGTGGGAAACAGTCTTTGAGTCTTGAACAAGTTGTTCCTGATGCTCTGCTTCCTGCAGGGGTAGGAATGAGATCATCGGATCTTGTTTATTCTGTGTAATAACTGTCAGATTCTCAGCTGGGCTCGGCACAAGGAACGAAGGCAGGCGACAATTTCGTGGGTCACGTGCTGATAATTCCAGACGCGACATACAAGACCTTGCAGTAGTGTTATTTGTATTTGCAATCTGTGCCAAAGCAGCAGATGTGGTGAAGAACATCTTAAATGCGCTCTTAAACTCGTTTGATCTGAACACGTAAATGATCGGATTGAGAGTGCTGTGTATCGCTGTCAACAGAATCATCGACGTGCGGAGTTCCTCTGGTATTTGACTGGTCCCCAGTTTGGTCGACAGAACCACGTATATGAGTTGTGTGAAATGGCAAAGGACGAACGCACCAATGACCAATACTGTGAAGAAGAGATAGACTCACTGTCAACTCTCTGGTAACCCTAAGACACATATTTAATCTTCTTCGCAATCGTTGGACTGTACAGGATAATAATAGAGACCTTCAGATTCCAAGACAAGGACGACTACTACAACGAGATTTTCTAAGTGGTGCGCAGACGTAAATTAGCGTCATTTGGGCGGGAAAATGCGATAGTCGTCGTCATTCTACTACGGGTTTAGGGAAACCTTTGTAAAGTTCTATCATTCTGTTTTAAGGAGAGGGCACACCCGCCTGGCTTCAATTACAGAAATAACCGTTTAAACGATTCTGGTTAAAAAAAAGTAGAAAGTCGCTTTCTGGTGAGTCTACTTTTTGAGAATACTCGAAAAAACGTCTCGTAGTTGTCCTCGTTCCTGAATCTTAAGGTGTCCACTATAAAGAAGCGGTTGTTGTGGGATAATAGAGCAAGTACAATAAATATAATACAGTACAGCTTTTTACAACAAATTCAAAACAACTGGAATTTCCATATTGTCTGATGATGGGTGGAGTCTTCCGACGAACTGAACTTTTTGAATTTTGTTATTTGGAACTCTTGGCAGACCCCTATGTAAGGTAACGCGGATTCCAGAATGCGGGAAATTTTTGCTTTTGAATTCCAGTATCCTGGGCTTCGGGATCGGGAATCCGCCTCTAGGAATCTGGAATCCCGCAAATTATTGAAATCCCTAATCCAAGTTCCTTTGACAAGGATCCGAAATCCAGTACCTGGAATCCGGAATCCACAGCGCGATGTCCACAATCCAAGACTGTCTTGGATTACTTTACATCAGGGTCTCAAAGGGGTGGTAGCTTTGACAGCTGACGGTTTATTTTCTCCGATTTTGACGGTTGACGGTTATTAAGTGGAAATTTAGACCAAGCGTTTAGTAAATATTAACTTCTGTATAAAATTATATTAACTGTTGTGTTTTGGAGGTTGTCTTGGCCTTTCACTTGTAAAATTTCGAAATAATTTCAGTCAGATATAAGCAAGTTCTAAGGTCTCGTAATGTCTAGAAGGAGTGTTTCTGAGAACATGGGAACTCGCTTTCCAGTTTAGAGCTGGATTCTTCCGGAGCCAGAAGCCCATGACGATCAGCTCAGGGGCACCCAACGTCAATTTTCGGAAAATACCTGTTCGGAAGACGATTTGAGATCTAGAATTTTCGGAACATTTGTTGTAAAATTTCTTGCTGGCCTGCCTCTCCTAGGATTTTCGGACATCTAAAAAATGGTATAATTGCCCATTTTTAACCGATTTTTACCCTAAAAGGATCACCTAGAATTTTCGGGAGCCTTTTTTCTGGCTGAAATTTTCGAAAAGATGAGTTTTGATCCCTATAATTTTCGGATCACCAGAGGAAAAATTTTTAGGGGATAAAAATAGGCCTATAGCTACCGTTTAAATACTAAAATACTTTTAACAATGCTATGTTTAAGTGGTTTTGAACTATATTCTCGTCGGGTACCCCTGTCAGCTGAAATACCATAAAAGCACAATTGAAATTCCTTGAAACTATCAATCTGCATTTTTGACTGCTGACGGTAAAAAATAACCTTTTTTAACGGTTGGCGGTTAAATTTTTCTTACCTATGGTTTTCATCCATTTCATTTCCTTCTTCCTCCTTCTCCTCAATTCGGCCTTTTCAGGGTTCAGGTATTCTCCTGGTTCAAGCTGGTTGCTGAGCGTCCACGAAATTTTGGCAATGCGAATGTAAACAAACACTGTCACAGCTAAAGGAAGTGCCATCAAGAAGGTGATATTGAAGGCAATGTTGGTTATATGGATCAATGAGAGTTTGTTTTCAGTGGCAGAGTCCAAGCAACCAATCATACTTCTTCTGAATTGGGTACTACTGTTACTGCGATAGCTGAAGGGAAGGATTATTTTACCCACCAGCAGAGCAAACCAGGCGGCAGTCAAGACCCTTTTGACGCGTTTTGTAGTCATTATACTTCTGTACCTTAGAGGATTTGCTATGGCCACGTAGCGGTCATAACTAAGAAGGCAGATGTGGATGACAGTAACTAGTGAGTGCGTGCAAATGACCATCGCGAAGAATTCACACACTTTGGACGCTGCCTCAAAATCGTACAACCAGATTAAACGGAACAAAAGGAAGGACGAAAAAGACAAGTCCGTCAATGCTAGGCTGGCAAGGAACGGTGTGTTAGGTCTTTGTTTAAGAGAGCGTACACAAGCAACAGCCAGGCAGACGCAAATGTTTCCAAACAGGTTTGCGACAAATGCAGAGCACAGTACTGTGGTTTGCACAACTTTGGACAAGGTGCTGGGAAGGGACGCACTGAAATCATCGTCAAAGGACTCGTCCATGTTGTGAGCTTATGAAGGATCTATAATTGACGGCTTTACCTAAGCATTTGTAATAGGTTTGTTCAGGAAACGTGCCAGCTTCTTGGTCGCTCGTCTGACTCTCCAATGATCAAAGATGGCGGGACTGAAACGATTACAATCTTCTTATTTACAAGCACATGAAAGATTAATTCTCTTAAGCTTGGCTCGTTTGTTAATTTTCTTGGGTTACTGCCTGGTAGTTTTAGAAACTTGAACTTCTTTTTATCGTAAGGATCAAAAATGGTAAAATTATGATAATAGCCACTGACTCAGTATACTGTACACCCTTAATTTTTCGCTAATTTTCTTAGTGGAAGTTCATTTTCCTGTTATTGTGCGCTGCTAACTAAAAACTCAAAATGACTGAAATGACAATTAACATCCAATGCTATTTTTGTCCCAAGCAGTAAACACAGTGCCAATACACTGATAGAGCCAAATGATAGCGGCAAAATATACACCACTTACGAGTTCTTTTGTAAAAGCGTATGGGTTTGCTAAACAATGGCAGGAAATTAAGGGTGTTCGTCAAAGTGGCGATGTTTAGTTTGTTTATTTGCGATTTGAGTGGATTGAAGTAAATTTATCAGTCTGCCAGTCAAGAAAGCAATGATGAAGAAACCAATCATGAAATCAAAAGAGGGCAAGCTCGGGAAACTCAAATCAAGATGTAAGACTGAATTTTAGCGAAAACACGAAACCTTGCATCTCCACTTCTATTGCTGTAATTATTTCCTGTTAATTAGTCCTAATGAAAATCACTTGTGTTTTTATCGTTCAATTCCTAAAGCAAATGCAAGACTATTAGCTTTCTTTCCTGAGTGCGGCGCTTCAAGAGATCAATGGAGACAAGGCAAGTGAATGGAAACCTTAAGTAGAACGTCGAGTGATTTGGATAGTCAGATTCGTTTAACATTTTCGGAACTAGCCATGTTTGAAAACAGTTGCACGGGCGAGTGTCTGGCAATTAATTTTTTTCTACTTCTCAAATCCATAGTTATGGATCATCCCCTTTATGCGATAACCATTTGATATAGATTTATCATTTAGATTAAACTCAGAGCTTAATCATAAAGGTTTGTGCATTTTCGCGTTGAATTCACTCAAGACTTGAATTTTTGGTAGTTCTAAAAGGTAAACCAAATATCCGGAAGGGTGTTTTTTTTTTGATATGCAGATGCCTTGCAGTGGATTTCAAAAGAAAACCTCTAATGCACTTCGATTCAATTTTTCAACCTACGACTTGCTGAATATCGGATGAATTTCTTCAAGAATTATTGAAAGCAAGGATTATATCCCTGGTTGAATATTTTACATTTCACTTCTCTATCGTGAGTTGCCAAATAACTTATCTAATTATCAATTTGTTTAGTAATTTTACACCGAAGTTTATACACAAGGAAAAAAAGAGGAAATAAGGGCGCCCACTCAGAAGAGACCGATTTACTGAAACGACTGATTTAATATCAAAACAGAATCCTCGCCGCATGCAATTGAAGTAATTTGTAGGAATCCACCACCATAATTATGTAACGCTCCTAAATATAAATAAAAAAATAAGAGGGTACCCTGTCCCCCTTTTAAAATCCTTTCAAGTTATACCTAAACATCGTAAAAACATTGAGGCTTTTCAAAGTGTCTTCACGTTCACCTAAGGGACTGTGTAATAATTATCAGGAGGGGGGGTGCTGAAAAACTAGAGGGGGGGCATTACACAAAATTGCTGCCAAGATAGGGGGGAGGGGCTCAAAGTAAAATCACTCATTTGACGGAGGGGGGGCCTTAAGTTTTATTCGAAATGTAAATAAAATTAAACGCAGTAAAAGATTCTCAATACAGGCATCATGATAGACTGTAACAAATATCAATACGAACAGCTGTTAAACGATTAT